GGAGCTCCGCTCCGAAGCTCTGCGCCACGAAGTTCAAAGCTCCCTGGTGCCGGGAGGCTTCTGGGGTTTTCTTGGGGCTTTAAGGGTTTAGGGTTTAGGGTTTAGGGTTTAGGGTTTAGGGTTCCTTTAAAGGTTCCTGGAAAAGGTGAGCTGTGGGGTGGATTGCAAACAAATTTTGGAGGGGTTTAGGGTTTAGGGGTTTAGGGTTTAGGGTTATAGAGTCATATGAAAAGGATCCCACCCTGTAATATCAGGCCTAACTCTCATATGGCCAAGAAAAGACCAAACCTAGAGACTCCAAAACCCCTTAATTATATGAGGAATATGCCTTAACTCATATTAGGGATCCTACTATATCTTAAGGTATATTCCTTAATTAAGGGGTTTTGGAGTCTCTAGGAAGCCAACATCCGGGTCTGCTGGCAAGAAGCTTTCGTGCGTCTACGCCTTCTTTTTCGTCGTGCGGCTTCTCTCGGAACATGAGCTGCTGTCTCCTGCGGCTCAAGCAAACCCTAAACCGTTTAGGGTTTAGGGTTTAGGGTTTAGGGTTGTGAAAACAGCCATGATACTCGACCGCATCCGGTATATAACGGTAGAAATAATCTATCTCTCAGTCAGGATCGGAGCAAGCAAACGACAGGAAGCTGTCTTGTCCGGACTCCACGACTACTTCGACATGCTGCCCTCATGTGCGGCATGTGCCAATGGCAGAAACTGGTAGGATCCCAAACCCTAAACCCTAAACCCTAAACCCTAAACCCTAAAACCCTAAACCCTAAACCCTAAACCCTAAACCCTAAACCCTAAACCCTAAACCCTTCTCCTGGCCAGCAGAATCCTCGTCTTCGACCGGCGCCTTCGGCTGCCTCTCTTTGTCTTCTTGGCTTTTGCCCTCCTCAGCCTCCTACGTGGGTAGTTGTCATAATTATGGTCCCTTTTGGGGTACCCTAAATAATACGTGCCGTGTTATAATAAGGACCCAAAAAGGGACCCTAATTTTGACAACCACCCAGATGGAGAGGTCGAGAGGTGAAAACGCACATCAAAGGCGAATTTCGAGTTCAAGTCTGTGAGACTGTGCGTAGTGTCTGGTCCGAAGAAGGAAGCTCATCCATTAAGCATACGAGTCGTCGCGGGCGCCACGGTTTTTGCGTTGTTTAAGCATCAAAGACATCCTGAAACAACATGCAAGCCGCCGCTTTCAAAGGCCCAGAATGGCCCAGAAACCTCAACCCTAAACCCTAAACCCTAAACCCTAAACCCTAAGCCCTAAACCCTAAACCCTAAACCCTAAACCCTAAACCCTAAACCCTAAACCCTAAACAGCTGATGGTTTAGCGTCGAGGCTCCAGGTGTTGAGGCTTGGGACTTTGCACCACCCATAAGTCCTCAGTCCTTAAGCGTGTAACGGTTTAGGGTTTAGGGTTTAGGGTTTAGGGTTTAGGGTTTAGGGTTTAGGGTTTAGGGTTGAGGGTTTAGGGATAAGTCCTCAGTCCTTAAGCGTGTAACGGTTGAGGGTTTATAGGGTCTCCTCGGGTTCTACACTCAAAATCAGGGAGGTTTGAGGGATTCGGGTCGGGTTCTATACCCACACGAGCAAGACAAAAACTGCCGAAACCGACTTGGCTGACCTCTGAGAGCTGTGGATGCGCGCTAGTCTCCCCTAACCCCGAATCCTAATCCCACCCCGACCGTGTCCTGGCCAGCGGAATCCCCGTCTTCCACCGGCGGCTTCTCTCTCTCTTTGTCTTCATGGCTTTCGCCCTCCTCAGCCTCTTGCTCCCCGCCTCCCCGCTCCTCCTCTGCCTGGCCGTCCTCTTCCTTAGGGTTTAGGGTGTAGGGTTTAGGGATAAGGGTTTAG